TATTATTTATTTTTCTTGTATGAGATTTGATTCTCCCGATTGGTTATACCTCGGTTTAAATATATGGCATGATATTATATTACACCTTGATATGATAATTGACATATATTAAATTGAGAGCATTTGGACAAGTATTGAAGTTTTTATTTAATATTTTTCTTGAATGAAAATTTAATTCATGTGGCCTTATCTAGCTTGAAATTAATATGTGATGTCATATTATATTAGGCCCTAGCATACTCTTCAACATATGTAAATTTGAGAGTATTCGAAGATGTTTAAAAATCTAGAGATAATTAATTAATTTAATTAATTAATTTATTCCAAGTATATTATTTACTTTATTGGATTTCCGACTTGATATTATTAATGAGCATGCCATATACTTTCACATATATTAAATCAGGAATATTTGATTAGGTTTTGAAACCTTTCATTATATATATATATATATATATATATATATATTTTTTTTTTTCGTATGAAAGTTTAATCACCATGGTTGTATCTTGCGTGAAAATTTCTTGTAACATTCTATTAAATCAAGTCATGGCATGTCTCATAACATACTTTAATTTGATAGCATTCGGATGAGTTTTAAAATTTAGAGATTTTAATTAAATGAATTAATAAAAATATATTCAATGGTTCCATGAGTTTGATTAAGTTTTTAACTTGGTATTCATGATTTCCTTAACAAGTTCTTTCACGTGTATCAAATAGAGAATAATCGGATAAGTTTTGAGACTTATATTTAATTATTTCCCTTGTATGAAATTTAATTCATATGGTTGCATCTTGTATGGAATGAACTTGTAACTTGATATTAAACTTGTTATTGACATGATCCTTGACATATCTTGTTCGTAGAACATTTAGAGTTGCCTTGTAGTCTTGAGAATTTAATTCTTTAAGTTGATTAAATTCCCTTTTAAGCTTCCACCGAGTTTATTATGCTTTAATATTGAATTCTTGCCAAGTTTATGAATTAGAACTCGTTATATGATCACATGATAGTATTCTACGAGTTGAGGTTATGATTGACTTGTTAGCATACACATTTACTCATATGATATTTAATATGTCATCATAGCTTGAATGCCTAGGGTATACCTTGTGTGACCTCCATGACTTGTTGTGCATGGTACTTGGCTAAGTGCATTGAATATATATATTATATCTTGATTTGCACAACTTGTTGATTTTGAAATTTGGGATATCAATCAAGAATTGACATGGCTAGGACTTGGTTCTAGTACGGGAGATAGAGAGCTTCCTATATTATAGTGCACATTAGGGGAAGGTACCTATGGGTTAGTAGCCCTAAAGTGATCCCAAAAGTATAGTTTTAATCTAGGTGATATCCGAGTATTCACATTGTTTGATTTCACTCCTTAAATTTCAAGTGTTGCATTCCTTGAAGATTTAAGACCTTTTCGTGTTGTATGGAATATTCCATCATTGTTTAATTGCATAGATATTATGCATTATCCTTGATTTCACGTATAATTCTTTTCGTGTTATTGATTCCATCCTTAAGTTTCAAGTGTTATCCCTTGAAGACTTAAGACCCTTTTCATGTCATTGATTTCACTCTTTAAATTTCAAGTTTTGGATTCCTTGAAGATTTAAAATCTTTTCGTGTTAAATGGAATGATCCAACTTGCTTAAATTACATAGACATCATGCTTTATCCTTAATTTTACTCTTTAAATTTCAAGTAGTATTTCTTGAAGATTTAAACCTTGTCGTGTTATATGGAGTATTCTTACCTTGTTTAATTGCATAAACATTATGCTTGCTTCGTGTATTTCGATCTCATTTAGCACACTTGAAACTGAGCACTTGCTTCTTGTATCTAGATTCCATTTAGTATACTCGTGTCTCGTATACTTACCTTGTGTGTTTTTGATCCTGTTTAGTATACCTGTATTTTGTATACTTACCTCACATATCTTTATCTTCGTTTAGTACACTTATACCAAGTATGCTTGCATGTTGTGTATCTCACTTCAACTGCTCATGTAACTTAAGATGATCCCTGAGTCTTACTTTGAAATAGATATTAGGTGGCATGAACCCTTTTAACATGTTTCATCTTAAGGTGATATTATTGTAAAATGCTAGGTCGATGCATACTCATCTCCTACGAGTAGCTTTATGTTACTCACCCCAAAGTTATCGGGGTTATTTTTCAGGTACAGGATTCAAGATTCAAGGATTTGCATTTGCCTTGGGTGAATTGTAGATTTGAAGTTCATTTGAATGTGTACTTGTTCACATGCAAGTGTTAGCATGTTTAAGTTTTACTTTTAAAGTTGTAATATTTAGTTAGGTTCAATATGCCCTTTTTGCCTTATGATATGCAAACTATATTTAGATACACTATTTTGAACCTATTTGATATATATGACATGAGGCCAAGGGTCACAAACTTTAAAGTTCAAGTGTATGCATTCCAAGTTTTGCCTTTGAAATGTAACTTTTCTAACTTTGGAGGTTTGGCATGTGATTTGGAGTAAATGACATATAATGAGGCCATGGGCCATTGTAACATATTTCAATATGTAAAGTACATTTGTTGGCATGCTTGTACAACTTTAAAGATTTGTTTTTGAACCAGTTCACGATAGGAATTGAGGCTTGGGTGAAGCCTCAACATTTTTTGGTGTATAATAGGTCCTTCAGCACCATTTCGAGTCATTTCGGCCGACTGAAAGGTCATTTCAGTCGATCGATGGCTTTTGGGATTCATTTGAACAGTAAAAAGTCATTTTCAGTAGCTTTCACACTATTTAGGTCCATTTCAGTTGACCAATTCTTCATTTCGGTCGACCTAAATGATTTTCCTTCATTTTCAGGATTTTTGGCCATTTTGGGTTCATTTCGGTAGACTGGTGGCTCATTTCGGTCGACCTAAATGGTTCATTTCTTTGTTCTTCAGTTTTTGGACGACACTATTACTCTGACTTCAAACGGTCATAACTTTTTCATTTCTAATCCAAATAGGGTGATTCTTGAGCCTAAATTCAAGGATTTTGAGTCAGCTTTCATATGGTACCAGTGAGATTCTTATATTCAAATCATAGTGGGAGTTATTTATGTTTTAGTGTGACAGTGTCAGATTTTGCTTGAACCGGGAATGGGAGTCTCGTGGGATTTTTGGCCAAAGTTCTTAGAATCTTTTGGAATGTTGTGAAATGATTAGTTTAGGTTGTATAAACCTCATTTGACTTGCTTAGAGTCAAATCTCCCTTCTCATTTGTAAATTGACCATTTTCCTCCTTGGTTTATGGATTTTGCCCGTTTTGACCTTTGTTTTCACTTTCATTTTCTTTGAGTTTCACGACTTCATCGAAAGTCACCTGGGTGTCTTAGGGATGATTGATATCTCTATAGACCTTGCTTCTGATTTTGCTTCCACATTTCAGACCCGTTATCGGGTCAACTTTTGGTTCATCATTGATGCACCGGGTTACAAAACTAGGGCCGTCATAATTAATGTGGATACATGAATGTATTTATATAAATTCATTGTGTTGGAACATGAATATTCAAAATTCATGTATCTCGAGTTTTGAACATATTTACGAGGTTCATTTTGAGAGGTCTATATAAGATCACACTTCTCTTATTCAAGGATGAAAAAATATGGATAAAATGGAAGATGTGTGGAGAAGCTTAATCCCATCTTATACTTAAGATTTTCTTATCTCAAATTTTAGAAGTTTCTCTTCTAATGTTTGTACTTGGACATTCTGAAAAGAGATTAAGTGTTGCACCCAATAGTGTATCATACAAATACATTGTGGTTGGATCGAGTCCAAGCTTGGTTGAATCCTGGAGGTAGAGAGCTACCATGATCCCTTGCACCTTGTGGGAGGCTTTGACTATCTTCAAGAAGTGTTTACGTGCCTCCAAGCAATGGTCCGGGTTTTCTTGATTAATGATTTCCGCCATATGTGTAAGTGCAAGCAATTTCTTGATTTATGGTAATAATTTTTTCCAACAATAACACCATTTTAAGACAGCTTGAGCAATCTCTCACCTCAGAATACTTAAGGCTTGGCAAAGTGCAAGAAGACGTGCTCAGACAGAAGTCAGGGATGCTCTAGCTCAAGTTAGGGGATTGTAATTCTTCCTTCTTTTTTTCTTTCAAAAATCTCTCTTCCAGAATCAATAGGAAGAAGATTGTCAGCCTTACCACAGCAAATGGAGATGTCACAGATGATTTGGAGGCCATCAAACATGAAGTGGTACTCGTTCCAGAACCTCCTTGCCTCCAGTCCACCTCCCACACATGTCATCACTAATCTTTCTCCATTCATCCTTAAATTAGTCCCATTTCACTTACATGGATATTTGGATGCTATCCCTTCCCATTTGGAAATTACATGGATATTTGGATAACTTTATATCGTCTCCCAAGAAGGATAAAACCCCAGTCCATATAGCTGTATTGCTCTCTTCTTCTAGAAACATGGCACATTATAGGTAGGCCAGTCACCAAGGCTGATCGAAAAAGCTAACAATGTTGGATAAATAAATAAATTTAAAATAAAAAATTAAGTTTACAAAAAAGGTTGGCAATCGAAATGAGTTAACATGATTTTCAAATAAACTCCTTACACCTTACTATATGAAATTTAAACATATAATTCTCTCAATATGCATTCATTTGGAATCCTATATAAATGAGTCCTGAATTATTCGTTAAATAAACAAGTGGATCAAAGCATATTTTTGAGACTTGTTTAAGGAATGAGGTGAAAGCCTAACTATATTTTAAATTCTTATATATTTAAATTTTAGGCCCATATGTACAAATGTAAGGCGAAGTTGACATATGTTGTTCCATTAGGCCCAATCGATGACTTGGTAAAAAATCTAGACACACAGACACCCTATTAAACTCAGTAGCCCAGTAGGCAACAGCCCATAAGCCATACATGATTGCTATCAACCATTGGATTGCTATCAACCATTGGATTGCTCTCAATGGATAGAATGTAAACCCTAAACTGTTTATATCTATCTACTTATAAAGGGAAGTTTTTCAGACGACACAATCTGCTTCGACACCCGGCAGGACGCAGCCTCCCCTATCGCCTCAGGCTCAGGTGACACCGTTCACCCTCTCTCTTCTCTCTCTCCTTTTGCATGAATCGATCTTTTTTTTTCCCTCTCCCTAAGTCCGGTCCGATCTCACAACAGCAGCAACCATACCCCTTTTCCTCATAATTTTTTTGCATTTTCACATTCATTGCTACGAAAATTAAGGATCCCTTCTAGTGGGTTGAGGAACTGAGGTGATAATTAACTTTTTCGATTTCTAAATTATGCTCATACTTAAAAGTGCCAAATTATTTTTTTATTTATAATTTTATAATTTATTTTTATATGAAGATACATACCACCATCATTGATGTTATTTGAAGTTGGCTCAGCTAGAATTTCAGTTAATGATACTGTCAAAGGCTCAAAGCACTTGCCATCAGAATGTACAAACACATGGAAATCAAGAGCAGGCTTTAACAAAACAAAAGTTAATGGTTTTTTCTATTAATTTGCATAGGTCTTCTGTAACAATGATCAATTAATCACTGCTACTAAAGTTGATTCCTCATCCTGAAATCAGAAAGGGGTAATTGGCTCCCAAAAAAAAAAAAAAAAAAAAACCCAAAAACACAAAGCTCCAGTGAAAACTCCAGCCGGGAAATCATTCGACCAAACTGCTTGATTTTAGATTTTTTTATTTATTATATTCATTGTATGATCGGCAATGCTTAGTTATTATTATTTCCGTTTGATTCTCCATGGTTATATGTGATCTTTTTTCACATGCTAGCAGGACACTCTTCTTAGGACTCTTAATTGTCCGATTTGGTAATTTAATATTAGACCACCCCATTGACAATTCCAGGATCCCCACTTTCATACACCCGATGCATAGCAGCGGCAACACTAATTGGAAAATCGAACCACCAACTGGGCGAGAAACATGCCTCCTCAGTCATTTGGTATCAAACTCCTACTCTCCCCTACTGATTTCTTGTTGTTTATGTTTCTATAAATATATATATAACTTTTAAAATTTTCTCTCTTTTGTTCTAATAATATAGGTTACTTTTCTAAAAGAAGAGAGTTGATGGGAATGGGTGGAGTAGGCAAAAAAAAAATATAGGTATGGTTTTTTTTGAGATATTATTTTACTTGTTTGATTAGATACTCTATTTTGTACATTAAGGATATGACATTAATTATTAATTGTTTTTTTTCATTCATTCTAAAATATTTATGTTCACTCCTGGCATTTTCTTTATTTCTTTCACCTCCTCTTCTTCTATATTCTCTACATTCACTCATGGTGACAAATTACATTAAATTTAGCGGGGGGCCTTACAGGGCACGTTCTAGTACATATGTTGGTAGTAAGCACCATGGACCAGTACATCCAACTTATGCACTTGTGCATGGACTTCAAATTGTAAAATCCAATTGAACTTGGATATCAGATGTATTCTAATGAATTTATTTATTTATTTATTTTTTTGACTCTTTTCCTATCAGATTCAACTCTGACAAAAGTCTATGAACGCATGATTTTCATATTGAAGGATGCTTTTAAAAAATGTTCAAGCTTTATGTGTGTCTTGAGAGAGAGACTACGATTGTTTACTCCTAAGCTATTTTTGCACACAATTGCGGTGTTAGTTTTTGTAGATTAGGAACTAGTGTAAGAGAATAATAATGGACTTTTTTTTTTTTTTTTTTTTTTTTTTTTTTTTTTTTTTTTTCTTTCAGGATTCTATGAATTGAAGTATTCTAAAGGGGTTAAAAATCATTGTACACTTTTTCAGACAATAAATTGGTTTCCATTAAGATAGCATAGTATATAGTTTTCGTTGTCTTTCTCGGTTGGTTTTTCACATTACAAATTTATGTTATTTTATTTTTCAAAAAAAAAAAGAAGGTATGTTTACTTGCATCCTTCGTAAATTGATTAATTTAATAATTAAAATTCAAATTGAGAGACATGTTTACCCCTTATATGTTATGTCACAGAATCCTTTATGTTAATTCTATCAGCTGCAAATTGTGCAACTTTCATTTGGTTAAGTGCTTGTTGCTCTAGATATCGAGCAATATTTTATTGCTTAAAAATAGATTTTTAAAAAATATTTGATTTTTTAGAGCTAGGATGAGCCGATTCCTTGATTCTATAGATGAAAAGGAAATTCTTTTGGGGAGGGTGGTCTTGTCTTCTTAGGAAGGAAAGAGAGTGTTACCACTGAAGTGCATCACCAACAAGCTTGAATGTAACCAACGTTTGCTTCTGAGCCTCCGTACACTCAACCAAGTGAAAATGATGGTTTATGTCCTTCTATCGATGAGCTATTTTCACATCGGTGGAGCTTGAGAACTCGGGTGGGCTCTCCTTTATAAAAGACTTCTGGCCTTCTCCCAATTATTAGTCTAAACCACTGGTAATGGTACAGACGCCTGCTGAATATGTGGCTGATTCTGCTACAGCATGAGCAATGATGTCAGCTATCTGAGGAGGATGCTTTGGATCCCTGTCCTGATTGTGATCCTGAGGTTCTTGATACTGCTGCTGCTCCTCCTCCTCCTCATGAACTGTAGGCAACTGTTCCTCCTCTTCGTGGAACAAAGGTGTATGCTACACTATTGCAACTTGCTGACGCCGTAGGAAATTCTGACGCTTAGGCTCCACCTTCCTTAGCTGCCTTTCTTTGCGAATCTGCTCCATTTCCCATCTTCTTTCGACGTTAATCATTTTCTTAACACAGTAAGATGGAAATTGGTACGTAATTTAACAAACCGTAAAAAAATACAATGAACCCCTGATACTTAGGCTCTAAACAAATGAATACGCTACGCATAAATCAATATACGAAAGATCTCTAGAGACACGTGAACCTGGAGTCCTCTGATACCAAATGTGATACCCCTTAATTTCAAAGTCATGGGTTGATCAAGTCCATGTCCAAAATCAGGGGATATCAAAACAATTAGGTAATAAACGAACACCGAATATAAAAGGATAAGTAAGGAATAAATAAATGCTGAAAGCAAAACTAAAATAATAATTAAATAATTAAATCCTCAATGACTAAAATACAGTAAATAATAAATATATCTGATACCATTAATCTTCCGAAATACAACTCGGGAATCCATACCATGTGAACCCTTAATAAAATCCCAACTAAAATGAATAACTGTTTAAAAATGAATACTAAAACATAAATAGAATCCTACATAAATAATCGAAAGAGTGATGATAATTGGTCTCTGCTCTACACGAACACAAGCTAAGTCTGGAACTGACAATGACCTTAAAAATAAATATTGGGTCACACCTACAAACCAGTTTTTTTTACTACATCTCAAACAAAGACTTAATGAACAAATAAATCATAGCCAACTCATGTAATAGCTACATAGTCGGTATACATATATAAATACACACTAAAGATTGTCACTGTACTATAGGGCGGAGCACACAACCCTCTATATCCAGCCATGCATCCCAGGGGCAATATAACATTCCTAACCATCGATCCTGAAAACTCAAGCTCATATTATAGTACATACATATATATAGCCATATCTTAACAATGGCAAAATTCATGCACATCATCCATATTCTGACAATGACATGACAAGGAACGAGTCTAAACTTATTAGCCAACTCACCCTTAATATACAACTATATCCTGACAATGGTGTATAAATTCGAAACCATATCCTGATAATGGTTCACACACAATCAAATAAATTACAGATCAAGTATAAGATCATCATATCATACTGTAATGACATGTCTTGATCTTTCTTGTGATTTGTATTTTAAGTAAGTATATATATATATATTCATTGTGATTTGTATTTGTTTTTAAATTTCTGTTTCTAATACTTTATTTTTATTTATTTATTTATTCTTATTATTATTATTTTTTCAGAGGAAGAATGACAGAATTAGAAACTACTTCAAAAATTATGTTTGTAGTCTTAGGGTCGTCGCTGAGTGGTGTTGAATACGGAAGAACTTCTCTATCCAACAGTATATCACCACTTGATTATTTTGAAATTTCACTTTTACCCTTTAACAAAAAGGACGTGGAAACCAACCAAGTAAACACAGAAAATGATCTTCGTATTTGTTAGACGGGTATCATGTTCACACGAAAGGATCTTCGTACAAACTACTTGTAAAATGATTTGATACATTCAAAACTTGGGTTAATGAAGTTCACAGTCAATATAGAAAGAAGAAGAAGAGCTGGTTTGATTTCATGGAATTAAGATTCAGAGACATTTTTCGGTATGCATATGTTACTTACAATTTTATTTTACTTTTTACTTTTTCAGAGATTTTTTAAAAATTTTATTTTATCAAATTCAATTGATTTATCAATATTTTGAAACAGTGACATTTGTAATGGTTTGAAGTTTCTGTTTAACTTGGGACATTGCGAAAGAGACCTTCTTGAATGTGCCGTCGTTATACGAGTAGAGAAAGGAGGAGGAGGAGAGCATGACAAGATACTAATGGTCACACAAGGATTTGATCGTGGAAGTATACTTTTGAACAAATCTTAATAGATGCTGAATTTTCTTTTATTTAGTCGTAAAAGTGTAATTTTGAACATATCCCAAAAAAAAAAAAAAAAAAAAAAAAAAAAAAATTGAATCTTTTTGTCCACTAGAGATTACTCCTGTGCAAGTGGCTGAACTAGCTATCCAAGATGTTGCCCAAGTATTGACTCTAAAGGGATGAATAAAGTCTATGGCAAACAATGACCAATTTTCAGTTTTGCAAACTTGATTAAAAGCCTTCTCATAATTATGCAATAATCAATGTATAGACATAAGCAATTAATAGCATAAATGTAAATAAGATAAAGAAAGAGAGATTTGTAAAAATTTACACGGTGATTTTAGCGAGGTTTGGAAACTCATACTCTTCTGTTCAAGATCCTTCTTAGACTTTTCAATCCACTATGGCTTCTCCTTATGTCAACACATTGCTTCACCTTGTTAAGAGACAACCTCTTTTAGTCTTCTTTTGGGTCACCCCAGCCCTTACAAATTGAAGCTACTTTGCTCCTTCTTTCTTGGGCCACACCAGACCTTACAAAAATTTGAAGATCAGAATTTTAGTACATAATAATCTCTCACATATTTGAAGTACAACTTTCAGCTCACAACAAGAGTATATATAAATATATTGAAGCTTAATACTCTATTAATGATATACGATGTATGAATATAAGAGCAAAAGCTCTTTGGATGCTATATGATGTTTATCTATGGTAGCAACATTAAATCCCGAAGTCTCCAGCTCTATTTTTAGAGTTTTGTTGCAGCTAATTCAAAAATATAGCTGTTGTGCATTGGTTTCAAGGCAAAATAATCATTCAAATTTGAATTTGTGCTAGTTCGGTCGACCGAAATGAATTAGCAGTTTGTTTCGGTCGTCCGAAATAACCTGAGGCTGTCTTTCACCTTTACACTTCGGTCGGCCGAAATGGATTAGACTTTTATTTCGGTCGTCCGAAATACCCTGAGGCCTTGTTGCATAGCTACTGTCAAGACCGGTCGCCCGATTCAATTTGTCTATGCATTTCGGTCTGCCGAAATGAAATTGTTGCTTCAGAAGTCTTGTTCTAAGTTAATAGATGAGTCAGTTTATCTACAGGACATCTGCACATACGTTATTTACATACTAGAAAATTGAAATCCAACTAAATCAAAATGTAGAAATTCAGTTTTAGTATAAATTTGGATTTCCGACAGTTTTGGTAAAAATGAATCCTTATGTAGATCAATGTAGACTTGGTCAAAAATTCTGACAAAATTAGTTTAGGCTAGTTGAAGTATAAAGAGTTATTATCGGGAAAAATTATTTTAAAATAATCATTATTTCAAAATTTTATTTTCACACTTAGCTAAAAATGTAGTTTTTCATGACGCGTATGCTGGGGTCTTAATGTCCGTTACCAACTCATGGTAATGAAGGCTTCTCATGCCTTAATTGTTGACCAATATGAATTATATGATTGATGTGTATAGTCTTAGCATTTCTAGTATAAGTGATGAGTTCTTTCAAAATTTATGCAAGCTTGAACTAACTCACTCTTTAGCAAAGACTCCATATGTCAATTGTATATGAATGACATGCATAGTCTATTCCTAATGGATATGGGAGCATGCAAATGATGATATGATATGTATGATCCTATAGAGATGAGTTTCAAATGGATT